GACATATCCCAAAATTAATTTTCCAGCTGCTACACACTCGAACCGAGGCAAGGACAGAGAAACCAATACACCGTTACGCGTTGTATTAATTTTTCTCGTGTGTCGAAAATCCGCATAGAGTGCCGTACACAGAGAGAGAGAGAGAGAGAGAGAGAGAGAGGGAGAGAGGAAAAGGATTTAATTGTTCGGGCTCCGGGCTCCTTCCCACGGAGCTGGCCACCGAAACTCTGTGTCTGCCGTCTGTTCTGGAGTATACAAACACTCGAACAGCGGCAGAAGACTTCTATGCGCTTGTAGGAAAATGTTTGCCCTTTCGTCGACGAGTTGCTTAAAGTATTGTCCGAACACTCGAGAACGTATTCAACATTAATCGAAACATCATCAACGGTATAATTTTCGAAAACACTCGACCGATCATCCTTTCTTTGTTTCTCAACGTGCTAAATTTGTCCGCCTTTCAAAAGCGTGAGATTTGTGAAAATCTTGATCAAATCAGCTGGATAATTCATTCAAAAACATCCGTCAAGCCTGATTGGAAATCCGAACATCATCTTGTGTGCGCGTGTCTTAAAAAATCCGTACATTTCCTCTCCGGCACATGCAGTATATAAGGGGGTATACCTAATACTATACCAGCACTCTTTCCGGCTTAGCCGGAGGTCACTTTTCCGCTATCTCCTCTTCACTCGAAAATCCCTTGCTCTCTGCGTCGGAACGTATCAAAATTCAGAGATCCGAAAAATAAGGAACGAGAGCAAGCAACGTCAGCCGACACTCGGCTTTTGTTCTTGGGCAAACATTTGGCCCGCTTTCTTCCCACAGGACCGCCTCTCTTTCTCTCTCTCTCTCTCTCTCTTTCTCTCTCTCTCTCTCTCTCTCCCGTCTTGCCTTCCAGTCTATATGTAAGGGACACTTTAGACGACCACGCGCACCAAGAAACTTCTTCAACTACTGCAAACGGCACCTTCATGCGTGATACTAACATATAAAAATAAGCTTGATTCATGCGCGGAACAGAGAAAAAGAGAGAGGTCAGCTGTCAACCCGCACGTGCGTACATTAAGCGCGAGAATGAGAAACGATAAAAGAAAAGAAGAAGAAGAAGAAGAAGAGAAGGAAGAAGAAGGGACGATGAAATACTGCAAAATCATCGGCTACCTGCTAGCATAAGCTGCGCACACGTAAACACCTTTTCCTCTTTGTCTTACGTGCTAATGCACCCTCGTCAATTCTCCTCCTCGTGATAGATTCTGCAATATTTTTCAACCGTTCGATACATTCAATTTATCTCTCCTTTCCATTGAGAAGTACATAGGTCAAAAGTGAGCAAGAGATCCATCGAATCGCGAAGAAACTGAGCAGCAGCAGCCCGACTTGGTATCGTTTTAACGTCTCTATTAGCAGCTATTAAAAGCGAGCGAGCCTTTTTTCTGCTCACCTCTCAACATTTTTTTATTCTTTGTAAGAAGGGCGAGAGGGAGAACTACGTTCACATGCTGCTGCTGCTGCTGCTGCTGTTAGACTGGGTCTCGGGTGTCCGGTTACCTTTTGTCAAGGCCCAGATTCTCGGGACGATATTTAGGCTCATTGTGCGCGCACATTTGGCACCACATACCTATCATGCAGTAGTATACGCCACATGCATATATATAGGCGAAGCGACGAAAAATATATGCGTTCGCGCGTGACACACGAGATGAGATTCGGTTAAAGTGATATAGGTATAGGCTGTTTGATACGCTTTTTGTCTTGAAGAGAGGGGTTGCTGGCTCGATGCTCACTGCTGAATCAGAAAATACGATTGCTATCGCTACTCTCAATCATATATATTAGGACGTATGTCTGCAAATATATAGTGCGTTGTAAAAGTGCACTATATGCGTAGCTTGTGATCAACGACAGTTGCGGAAAGGGTTGGACGTTGAGTAGAGAAAAATTGAAATGACTTGTAAGGGCGTATGTGCTTTTACGCAAGCACAGATGATCTCTTGTTGATGCGTTTGTTTATGCAAGAACGCGCAGGCTCGTCATTAAGGGGCAGTTGTTTTTGCGAGTAGTAACCGAAGGTAAAAAGAAGCAAGAGGCGAGGCTGTTAACAGGTTTTTTCAAAAACTGACTCGTCATTCGACAAGTAAGATCGTGCTTGGTACACGCACCTGAGCAAATTTCTTTTTGATTACACCGACAATAGTGGCGTACACCTGGACTCTCTCGTTCCCGCAAAACCAAATATATTTGTTCAAAAGCACGAGCCACGTCAATTCTAAAACCCACCAGAGAAGGAAAAGAAGAATATCGGATTATAAGCGCAGCGCGGCAGCAACTTATTGTATAGGACTCTCAAAAGCCGTCCTAATTAGGTGTTAATAGCGTATGAAAAGGTCCTCCCGCGCCGCTTGACCAAAGGCGCGACGTCACAATGAACATTCCGTGCGCGTAGACAAAGGCTCGCATAATTAAAACGCGTTGGATATTTTCGCATGCGCGACGCGGCTTCGATTACCCTGCTATACTTATTACGCTTCTGTACTGTGTGTACAGGAGCTGCTACGGCGGCGTTCTCTCAAATTACCGTCGCACCGCCTTTCATCGCGCGCTCTCTCTCTCTCTCTCTCTCTCTCTCTCTCTCTCTCTCTCTCTCTCTCTCTCTCTTTCTCGTGCGCACGCAGGCCCTTTTTGGCGCGAAAGCAGATTGACAGCTGCCAAGCCTCCAACGCTACCCCCTCCTCTCTCTCTCTCTCTCTCTCTCTCTCTGTCTCTCCTTTCATGTCTCTCTTTGGCGCTCTCAACTCTCTTGTGCGATTTTTCATACACAAGCCGCGCTAAGAAGTAAGAGACTGCCTGCCCCAGGTATTTGATGTACAAGCGCTGTGATCGCTTGTAGGCTCTAAAGCTGTAAAACTTACTTTAGCTTCCTGATAATAAACTGTACTTAGAGATCGCAATTGTCAGAACAATAACAATCAAATAACTTATGTATTTGCAGGGTTGCTAAAACACTAGGAAAAGGGAGGTCATGAAAAAGTTAGATAATTTCGTTGACTGTGGCAAAAAGTTATGAAAATTAAATAAACATCTTGGAAAACTAAATCCAATTACTTTATTTCCGCTCTAGGACTACGATTGAAATCATCTGTTAATCTCGGCATTTTTCAGTTTTCGCACTTACGAGAAATCGTATTATCTAAAAAAAAATGTTGGTTTTGTTTCTTCCTGATCTCTGCTTGATATTATAGCCGGGAAGCAGCGCACGCGTACAATCAGTAATTGAATAAAATTGCTTTGAAAAGGTCTTTATTTGGTTTTTTGTTGTTGGCTAGCATGAAAAAAATTTTAGAAATTTAGACAAATGTACGCTACAATTAATAAAACTTGCACATGCTAAGGAATTGACCTGCATGAAAAAATGTATTGCTTTGACTTTAGCATCGCCACATATAGCTCACCACACGCATAAAATCTAAAGAGCGCGAAATGTGTTACCGTGGTAACAACGTGCGAGAGTAGAGAGCTCACGAGATCCAATTAGTAAGGAAAATACGGTTCGCAAGAGATGACGGATCGCGAGCGACGTACATATACCTATATGCACAGTGCAAGCAGCCATATTGAGGCGCGGCTACGAAAGCTCCAACGTCGGCGACGACGGATCGATCGTGGCAAGCGGGAGAGCTTTTAAGCGAGGACCGCAGAATCCGAGCGCGCGAAACGATCCGGCAAATGTACGCAAAGCTTGTGTTATATCGCGAAAAAAACAAGTCGAGCTTTCCTTTAGCTCGTTTGATATGACAAGTTTGTTTTTCTGGAGCAAGTTGTTGGTGAAAGGCACTCTCGCTAGCCAAATAATTTTCACAAGCAATTATTTCGTAAACCCAAAGCCGAATTATAATTCGTGGACTCTATCTGACAAGCGAAATGTAACGTATGCATAAGAGTTTTATGACGAGAGACCACATGACTGTATCGCCGGCAAGAAAGAACGAGAGAAAATACGTCTACTGAAAGAAGGTAAACTAAAATGACCGTACTCTGCCTCGTTTGGGCGTAGGTGAGCACGGGAGTCACCAAACGACATCAGCCCACGTGTGCGGGCGCGAAGAATATTTTCAAGGCATAGCCAGCGGCGTCGGCTGTGCTGACACCGTAATTCAACCGCCATTCAAATCCCTTAATTTCCACATAAGAATAGATCCGCCTCGCGCGGCAAAAAAGGGGGGATCCCCTCTCGCTCGAGTAATGGCGGCAGCGCATGCGTTATATACGCGCTCGCATCAATCATTCCAACTTAGACTTCTCATTTTTTTTCGAAATGGTCACACTTGAAAGCCGCGCAAGTGTGACAATCGAGAAGCACCTAGTCATTCGATTAAAGTAGGATTCTCATTTATAGGAATGTACGTATGTATGTGTGCTTGGGAGACCACTATTCTCTGTCGTAATTCATCTTTGTTCTCTACCTAGTGCGTAATTTTTTGGGTGGACTATATGTATGTGACGCGAGCTGATTTACGCTGCCGAGATTTTATGTATTATGACGCGGGCATTTTATTTGATGGCCTATTATACTGATTGCGATTATCACGCAGCATTTCACAGCCTGTCTTTTTATCGCGATGACATTTTACTTTGAAACGAGGGGGAGAGAGACAATTGGATTGCTATGATCAATTTTCCTCTTACATGTACATATATGTACGTACACCTCATTTTAATATAGACAGACTTTGCGATTCGATAAGAAAAAATTCTCGGTCACTCGATAAATAACATCGCTAAACGAACTAGAGGAAGAGGATAAAATTACGGGCATTTTCAATGTGCAACTTGTATAGAGTTTTTCAATGGAGAAACGAGAAATCCTATGAGGCTGCTGAATCTCTTTCTTTCAACTACATTACAATTAATGTTATTCCAAATTTGGCCACATATAACCTAAAATGAAAAAAAAAACAATGAGCGAACTTTAACTCACCAGAATCCTTTTGTTTTCATGTCAACAGGCAGCAACAGCAATCAAGCAATGGCAATGACCGTGTACGTCGAGCGCTCAGTCCAGGACCCGGTACCGACAGCGATGACTCGGATATCTCGTTAGGCAGGACATCACCACCATCGCCAAGTTCTTCACCACCCCCTTCGCATCACCATCAACCTTCACCAGTACCAATGGCCAGCTCCATTGGCCCTATTCATACGCCATCGTTAAATTTTCGTTTCGATCCAACGCAATCGTCGTTTCGATTTGCCCCAGCGCCAAGCTTTAAATTCCCTTCGGCTGGATTTCGCTTTGGGCCTCACAGTCCACAGCACAATCATCATGGAATACCCGGTGGCAGCATTTTCAGGCTCACCGAAACTAGCCCCTTCCAGGCTGTCGGACCACGCGGTGATCTGGGATCAAGGTTCGTACTAGCCGCATTCAAATGTTATTTCGATGCTATTGGTTTGTTCTCTTAGATTCTAAATTCTTAATTAATTTACTCGAGAAACATTTTGTTCTTAAATGATATCAAGTTACTCAAAGGCATTAGTCTATCCTCTACATGTCTCCTGCGTGTATTACAAGTATCATCAAACAATATCGTTTGATTCGCTCCAGATTGCCGGATCCAATAGGACTGCCGCCACCCCGGTTGTACCCGCACGAAACGCTACTACATCCACATCCGCACCCGCCACACCAGCTGCCCGAGGGAATATCACGGATATCGGACACATCGCGTCTATCCGATGGTGGCATCTCACGGTTGTCAGACAGTCTGTCGGAAGCAGCGCATTCGCCGCCATTAGTCGCGACAAATCTTTCGGTAACGGGTCCACTGTCCGTAACCGTACCATCGCCGCAAACACCCTCGTCACATGGTAGTCCACCAGTATCACAACCACCACCATCAGCACCAGCACCGCTGTCGAGTCAAGGAATCGTCAGGGTTGCCTCGTCGTCACCACACAATCCAAAGCCACCGCAGATCCATCGACCATTCTCACCTGCGTGATACGACGATGCTTAGGTCGGGGTCATGGTGTAATTATATGGGTATGAGTGTGTTTCTGCGTGTATGCGTGTACGTCCCTAGGACGTAGGCAAAGATTTTCCTTTCTTTCTTTTTTTCCTTCCTCGTTTTCTTTCCGTGTCTACGCTATTTTTTCTTTTCGTTTTCTAACGTGTGTATTTTTAACGACGAGTTTCGAGAGACTGAATGTTACTATTATCCGCATAGTAAATGAATCAATTTTTTCAAATGTTGAAATGCAATGACTATTGAATGTTGTTTTATAAAAGTTAACGAAATCTTGCGGAAAATATCGCTTCTGGAGGTGACTATACATATATCTCTGTCGTTAAACTTTTCAAGCACGTTAAAGTGAAAACAATAGTCGTAATTTATACGCGAATCCACGTATTTTTAAGTGTTTCTGTGCTTGGAAAATAATAAACCGACGTTGCGCTCTATGATCATCTATATTATGGTTTGAAGTGGTACAGTCGAAACGACAGTAATAATGAACATATAATTTTTTTGTTTTTTCTTCCAAACTTTTATCATTAGTTATTTTGTTTCTAATTATTTTCTTTTTTTTTCGGTTAATTAAATATTATACTGTAAAGAAACTTATCTTATTCTTGTTGAACTAAATTTCTTCTGAATTACCAAGAGCAACGCAAATATTATTGAAAATCGTTAATGTAATTCTTCAAATGACATTATGCAATTGAACTGCAAAATTTTTTGTAGAAGTGATATGAATCCTAGAAATCCTAGAAAAAAATCGTGTCGATGAAAGATTAACGACACATAATAGGATTTCACGAATAACGCAAAAGCGAAACCGAATAAACATTGGCTGTTAGACGCACACGAATGGTTCTATATATACAAGTCACCGAGAAAAAACGCCAATTTGTCAAGTATATATTATATAATATATTGACGGAAGTGAAGGTAAATATAGTAAATGCGCGTTGAGCAGATTTAAAAACAGAAAATATTTCACGAGAAGTAAACAAATAAATCCTTCTTACGTCCTGAAGTCCATTTTCTTAGACTAATCGTAGACGGCTTGCGGACGATTGCGCATGGCTTTATTATACACATACACTGTTATGCACAGTAACATGGCGTAAATTGGCGTGTATCAGTCCTTACGCTATGTTTCTGTTCACAATAATTTGTGTGCATATTAAAAGCGTGCACAATTATCCGTAAGCTTCGTAGACTTAGTACTCGCTAATTCGAGTTATCGAGCCAGTATTCAGTATGCGAGAGATAAAAAGCACGAGAAGCCGTCACTCTGGGAGTGTCGGATTCGTTGATGAAATATTATATACGAAGGGACCGAGTGACGAGTGGCAAGATGATTATAAGCAAATAAATAATGATATTTAAAGATTTGAAAAATGTGGATCGCGCACTCCAATCTCTCTTCCTCCCTTTCTCTTTTGTAGATAGAGTCGCACTAAAGAAAAAATAAATTTTCTTTCTTGTTTAATCGCTCCTATAAATATGAACATATATAAATATAAATTGAATATAAATATTATAAATAGCTAACTTGTATGCGTATGCGCGGAATGAATAATGCAAGAGTTATACATATATAAATACGTGAAAGAATGAGCATTATTATGCATAATATTATTACAATATTATTATGTGCGCCTGTACATACATCCACGCGAAAATATAACAGATTACTATGAAAACAACTATGCTTTCATTTGATCACGTTTAAACCCACACATCCTTTACCAATAACAAATAAAAGGAAAAACAATCAACTACTCGTATCCTATCTTTATTTTTTGGTTTTGAAAGTCTTATAATTCTCTTAAAAAGCGCGTGTATTTTTAAATTTGAAGGTCGCTTCTAATGAACTGCTGCCCGTCTTTCTTGCGAGGCAGATAACAACGAGCTATTTATGTTGGAAGCCAACAACGATATTATTAACTCTATGTCTTTCCGTAAATTACATAAAAAGCAGGACTTTTGTAAATTTACATTTTCTCAACTTGTATCGTAAAAAGGTAAATCCGCCTATGTAAACGTCCGCAGAGTATCTCGCATACGGAATTTGGAAATTCTCCGTTCCCTAAAAAGCCCACCAAAAGTCTCAAAATGTTCGCAAGCGAAGCGTAAAAGAAGAAAATACAAATGCACACTGTGTATCAGGATAAAAAATAATATTATCTCCGATGTCGTCATCGTAGCCGGCGGACGATTAGGCCAGGCGTGTAAGCGAAGGGAGAGAGGTAGACTCGTCGTTGTCGAGGCGGAAGTAGCATATTGTCGGTGTGTGCCCGAGCAACACAACGGCACACAGTGTATAAAGTTGGTGCCTGCATGGGTCGGTGTTGGATAGATAGTAGTGGGAGTGTTGAGAACTCTATATACATCGTAGTGAGAGGAGGAGAGACGTTAACGCGGTGTCGAAGCCAACGGGGGAAGGGAGAAAAGGACGCGACGAAGTTTGTGCTTTCTCTCTCACACTCTGCTGTGTCTGTGCGTGGGCGGGTGTCGCTGACAAAATCCACCAATCGCCGTGGTGCTCCGGCCGTAAACGATCTCATAGGTCAAAGCAAACCAAGCGCACGCGAGTGCGCTTTCGTTCAACGACGGCTAGACGTCGATGCCACATCGACGTGAATATGTGGGTGAGATGGCAATTATAGGTGTGCCGCGCCGTTCATCGGCCAAACTCGATGTACACACGATGTTTTTGCTACGAACTTACCAACTACGCAGCCGTTTGCGGAGATAGTCTCACCGAATCTACGACGTCTGTATATTTCCGAAAGATTGTTCGCGGTTAGACAATCGATATGATTTTTGGAATTGTTTAAAATGTAAACGACTGGCACGCAGGCGAGCAGTCGGCGAAACTGCATTCACTTAATGGAGTGCTAAGCGCATTATAAAAGTATTTGAGCGCTTCAGTTTTTGTTGATCATTCTGCGATCGGCTAGTCGCCAGCGAGAAAGCGAGAAAGCTATCGGGCAGCTACGATCGCGATGAAAATCGATTACACTCTCTGCGGCACCATCGCAAGAGAAGGGAATGTGTATGTATAAGCGTATACAAAACGAACCGTTATTATGTGTAGAAAGGGCGTGCGCTCGTGTGCAGCTTTGCAAAGTGAGACGGAGGTGTTCTCTCTCTCTTTCTCTCTCTTTATCTCGTTCTCGCTGACGAGCATCCGGTTTTTGCTCCGAATTGTCATGACTTTCTTTTGTTCGACTGTCTGTCTCTGTATAATACCTTCCACCTCATTTATTTTTCCAATGGAATCTCTTTTCAAAAAAATATCCTCTGCCTCCTAAAAATAATTTGTGCGCGGCAAAGGCTTTTTAAAAATCCATTAACATCAAACGAAACCTCGCAAATATGAATCGCGATAAAAAAGAACGTATATATGGACTTCGAAGCACACAAAAGGCATGCGTATATCCATATCCGCAGATGCGCCGCTAAAAGCGAGGGAGATATATAATAGTCCCGGAGGCATCTCTCTTTTATTGTTCGCATTCGTCAAGCGACGTGAGTTGAAGCTCACACTCGCGATCGCAACCGATCGCGATTATAACGTCGATAAACATCAGCGCCGTCGCGCGCGTTCCAACGCTTCCTTTTCCTTCCTTTTTATCTGCCGTGTCCCTTTGCTTCATTCTCTCCGAAAAGCCGAGCCTGCGCCGACCGTCTGTCCCGTGAGCTATCTACTCTCTTCGGGGGCTTGTCGTGTTTTGACAGTTGCTGCTCTGACACCTCTGGCACATTCATTAGGAAGAGGTTCTCAACTACAAAACTGTAATATCACTTTGTTTTGTCGCATACTTGTCTTTTCTTCTCTCCCTTTTTTCTACGTCACTGTGCTTTTTTGTCGTTTCGTGAGTGTCTCTACTCCTAACATTCAGTTATCTTTTTTCAGCGCTACCCACATAAAGTGCACTTATTTTTCTATATTTAAAATCTAACTTCATGTTCATCTGACAATCAGTTTTGACTTTGCTGACGAACAGTATAAATTAATAACTAGAACAGACTATCAAGGTAAACATTCTGAAAATCAAGATTTTTTCGCAAAGTCGTTGATTAATCACTTGTTTCACCAACAAGCAGTTCCCTTCATGAAATACATCCATGTATTTTGTCTAATGGCTAAGAATACAAACCACACGTCTGCATGTCCACATCGCGTCTATGCGATCGCCAGACGAGACATTTGCCTAATCCCCCAACAAATATATTCTCCGAATCGATCCGATGCATATAATATTCGAGAGGAGCGCAGCAGTGTATAAAGCGACTGAGAGCTCAGACACTGAAAGGAGCGAAGCGAAGAGTATATAGAGGCGATAGCCCATCAAACCCATCAAACGCGTATATATACACATCATCTGATCCGCATAGGTCGATTTGAGCAGCTACGTGCGTGCGTGTCTGTGGCGCACGCCAGCTGTTCGGATTAAGATGTTTAGGATAATGCTCTTTCGTTCTCTCTCTCTCTCTCTCTCTCTCTCTCTCTCTCTCTCTCCTCTCTCTCTCTCTCTCTCTCTCTCTCCTCTCTCTCTCTCTCTCTCTCTCTCTCTCTCTCTCTCTCTCTCTCTCTTTCTGTGTTCGGCCTCTTGCTTATTTGTGGACACCCCGACAATGGAGACACAAGCTATAAGGGGGCGCAGGTATGCGCATACAAACGGATCATTGTAATAGTGCACGCGCGCTTCTCGTTGAGGTGTGAACTGGCCGCGGGAAAAGCGCCATTGTTGCGGTCTACAAGGAAGATTTTCGCCCTCCTTCTCACGACCATTTTTTTTTCTCTTCTTCTTCTACTTCTTGTTTCCTTCACGGACTTTTGCTCGAGAGAGAGAGAGAGAGAGAGAGGAGAGAGAGAGAGAGAGAGAGAGAGAGAGAGAGAGAGAGAGAGAGAGAGAACGAGAGGATGAAAGAGGAAAGATCCGATATTCCGCTTATACCAGCAATCCCCATACAGCCGACAATGCCAATGCCACACGAAAATACATTATATGGGGAGAGAGATTTGTGCCACGAATTACCCGGCAGATCTGCATTCGAATTCGTTGTCCGTGCTAATTTCTATTGTTACGGAGTCAGGATTGACGACCAACGCGATCGCTCGAGCTCGTAAATGTTTTCATGGATTACTCTACTTCGTCGCTATTAGTGACGTTATTAATTTCCAGTTTATTTATTTATTTTTTTTTCATCAAGTAATTGGGGAGTATTGAATAAATATATCGCTGTTTTTTCTGCGCGGGTATCATTTCTCTTTTAGCTTTTTCAACAAAGTATCTCGCTAAAAGTTTCCATATTCCGTGCGCGCGTCACTTTGCGTCTCGTTGCCCTATAATTAAAAGGACAAATTGGCCACGTACACCGAACAAAGGTAAATTAAAAGTATCGTCGTTATTTTCACCTGCTGACTGCCATATTGTTCGTTAAAAATCGCGGATATATGAAACGTTTTGAAGGCTCGGCAAAAGTGAACGTGATCCGACGCGCAACAAATGAATTTAATAACCTCGCTCACGGTACAGAACTAAGCCGATTAACAATCTATACGTACGTGAAAAAAACACAGACTCGGCAAGCTGCTGTACAACGCTCGCTGCAATTTTCCGCGATTATTTACAACTGGCTGCGCACAATGCTTTCAATTCTGTCCACGACTGCGATACACTACGCACGAAGTATAAAAAGAAACGGCATATGCACGCTGTATGTATATATATAATTTAATTGTAAATTGTTGCGGCGATATTTTGTAAAGTTATTTTGTACCTGGACGCTTTAAATATTTGATTAAAATGGAATTAAAATATTATTCGTTAATGGGGATTATTCGGAATTATTCTTTGTTCGTTACGAATGTACGAAGCGCTTGGTTAAATTTCATTTTGAGCGTTCGCATTATCAATGCTTTTAATGTTCAACCGCCTTTTTATTTTCACATTATCATTTTTCTCGCAGGCACTTTTAACAAACGAATGCCATACTACGGATCCAATAGACCGTGCTGTACTCAAAGTACTCGCATATCGACTGATTTCGAATCAAATCTACCTCGCGTATCCCTCGCAGCCGACCTACGCTACACGAGGGGTGAGCACGCCTGTGTGGATCTGCGAATGTATAATCATAAAGATCGTGTATATATAATTTCGAATTTAGAAATCAAAGTCTCGTCTTTCATAGGGTTCACACAGGGCTACCTCTCGCTCACTCGTACGGCTAATTAGAGGTTAGATATAACTTGTCATGCGCCCGTTTAATTTGAGCTCATGCATCGTTCCAACTTTTCAATGCAAGGCGTGGCACACATACGAATGAAACAGAGTGAAAACGTACGTACACTCGCACACGTACACACGTACGCTTCCTCTTTCGCGTATGGGAAAAACGCTCTAAGCGTGCGGGGACTATATTCTCTGTAAATACTTATTATGTCGCGCGTAAGTGGATCAGGTATCGAGTGCTTTAATCTATCGCTACCATTCTGATAATGATTTGTCGGCTGTAAATATAGTTATTATAGTGTAAGGAGCGATTATTAATTACTTTCAAGATCATCTGGTAGGAAAAACTAATTATACAGCTAAATCTACCAATCCGTCGCATCGGTCTTTACGGACAATGTGCATTGCTATATACATACA